GAAAGGGGCTACAACGAGCAGATTCAATTGAACCGTCCTTTTAGGACCCGTTCAATATACTAAGACGCGGCCGGTAATTTCTTACCGCGCCCGTCAATTTTTCTTTTAATTCTCGGTCTTACACTTTTACCAAGAAAGCGCCTCTGGCGCAATCAATTAATTCAAACACAACTTGTACATATACTCTCATTTTCTGACACGAAAAATAAATTATATTTTTCTAACACAAAATTGGTTTCATAACTTTTAACCAAGTCGAACCCAATCCATTGGGCAATACGCCCATACACCACTTGTACAATTTGCAAACATTCCGCATAGCGCAATGTCTCGTGTGATACCCACAACGCAAGGTTCCGATTACATCCAAGTTCGTCAGGCGTGCGATATCTTCGTAATCCACATCGATCGTTTCGATCTCTACATCATCTTCCAAAATCTCGCACAGCCACTTTTTCTTCTCGAGTCCTTTCACGTATATCGGAGGCTGTTCCGTACCAATAGCATTGTTGATAAGATTTTTTATCTGACTGTACGAGACGTGTCCATCTTCCCATTAGAAGCCGTGGTGGTGTATCCGTAACCAACACGCCAGCGATTTTTCCGATTTTGTTAACAAATACTACGGTACGTGTTCACGAAATACGTAATAAGATAACGTTTCGCCATCTCGAAGTACCGCTACCTCTTTCACAATAAAAATGTTGTTGAACGCGTAACCTTGCAGATCGACGAAAATTGGTACGTCAGACATCGTCGTCGACCGTCGGAAAACTGATATGTCCGCGTACGCATCTCCAATTTATAAAAAAAAATCATACGAGTCTGCGCACAATGTTGTTCAGTGGATTATATTCAACCATTCGATCGTGTATAATGAGACAATAGGCGGTGGTGTTGGCCGGTATATTTTCCTTACAATCAAATTCTATTCGCACGTCAACGGTGGCGCTCTTGACAGAGTCGTTTTGTCGCGAACAATCTATGACTACGAACGGACCGGCTTTCGAGAATTCATCGATGTCCAAATACGTATTATCGAATCCGTAATAAGCTTTGCGGAAACGCGCATACATGTTGTACAGTATAGCGTATCGATTTCTGTCGAAATCCAAGTTCATGTCGTCGTACGGATAAAAATCTGAATTCAGATGCAGTCTTACATTGGTGAGTTTACAAGCGTCAAATTGCGTAGCGTTTTCAGACAGTACGTTTTTTCGACCGGTTTGGAGAGCAAAGATTACGTATCGCGGTTTTTCCAATTGCGTCGCGGCTTTGACCGCCCAGGAAGGCTTCGTTGTATTCTGCAGCAGAGGAAATTCGTACAGATTCCACGAACGGAAGCACACGCTCAGATATCTTCCGCTTTCCAAAGTTCGAAGAAGAGACAGCTTGTTGACTTCGCTCAGAGATACGTGCGGCATTCGCCACTGTATCTTGAGTAGTTCGATCGTTGGATTTGTACCGACTCGTCCAACGAGACAATTGTTATCGTTGCGCGATCGTATCAATACAAGTTCGTGACGAGCGTTGATTACAATCCGTTTGTAGTCCTCGCAGAATCCTAAAAGAGTATTGAGCGGAACGCAAAAATTAAAGTTTCCATCGAGCAACGGATTTCCATCCGGATTCCACGATGCGTATTTCAGCGTCTTGCTCTTCTCCGTCGTCAGCGATACATAGTTTTTGATCGTGCTCGTTATTCCAACGTTTCTGTTACGATCGATTTTAACTCCGTCGAGCTCGTATCGCATTTCATCAAACATGAACGCGACACAATTATTCCCATTATACACACGTTATCTTTATTCTCATTGGCAGGAGTAACGAGTTTTCCTCCAATGTAGAGAAAACTCTCACACGGCAACGTGTACAAATCCTGTTGCTGTATAGGTATTCGTATCTCGTCGCTGTGTCCCAACGTCGTGTTAGCGTACAGATTGTACGTGTGCATCTCATATTTCACGATACGCTCAGCGATGTCGAGTATATCCATCTTTTTAATCGTTTCTCACAACGAATCCCAATGATTTTAAAAAGTTTACGTTCGTCGTACTGAGCTTCTTGAATGGCGATGTTTTCTCAATTTTCGTTGTTCTCTCAATCACTCGCTGTTCGTTCACACGAGCATTTCCTCGCACCACGTCGCCGCAAGTGCAGTCTGATGGTAATCTCCTCTCCGCGAAAATCGATCAATCGTCCGTCTTGATCCACCACACGCAAGGTGATATCGGTAACGCTCCTCGCGATGACCGGAAGGTAAATGATTTGCGCCGGTGTTTCCGAGACTTTATATCCCGGAGGCACGTTCGGTGAAAATTCGTGTATCGTGTGCACCGACCTGTCGTTGGCGTACGCACCCGTGGTTATGCTGCATTCCACTCGAATAATGTTTACGTTGACGATGTTTACCGAGGAATCTGATTCGTGCAACTTTCTCGGTTTCAGTAT